CCGGGCAAATGTTGATATAGGATAGCGAAGTCTCAGGAGGTGAAAGATTCCTCCGTCTTCACAACTATAAAAGAAATTAGGGAAGAAAAAAACTTCCTTTTTCTTCTTCTTCAGTAACTTTTTCTGAAATAGGATTTTTTCCCAATTATGTTTGTTGTAGTGAATCCTTAAGAAATTAAGAATGATGAAATTTCAGCTTACTTTTTTAAATAATATAAACCATAGATATTCAAACATGCAGATGTAATTTGAAACTAAGTTAGAGGTTTTAAGAATAGTATATAGTTTTGTTATTAACAATTAGCTAATTGTAGAACTTGCAAAGCAGAGATTTCTGCTAGCATATATCATATTTCAATTAATATTAGAATATAATATATCTTTAATAATGTTAACTAACAATCCAAATTTGAGCTTACTAGTAGTTATAGATTTGAAAGTTGTATTCTTTTGCCTGGAATTAAAGGAAATTAATGGCAGGAATATTACTTTAAAATCCTTGAAGAAAGACATTTGATAAAGTAAAGTACTTGGAGAAAGAACTTCCAAAAGCATCATAGTGCTACTAACACTTGCTGTTACTTGTTTGGACATTACAATTTTGGCATAATACCATAGTATTTAAAGCAATTATATTACTTTTATTGGATTTTACATAACTGTAAATGCTTTATAAATGAGTATGTACCAAGTTTGGTTACCAAGTTTGATTACTAATTACAGTAATAAAGAATAAACTGGAGTTACAACTCTTATCAGATCTAGCCTAGAGCAAGAAGAATATCATGACTGTCTGTTATAATATCTTCTTATTTATTCTCGTACTATCTCATATTTTGGAAAACTTAGTTGAATTTCTTAATGCAACCTGGAACCAACAAGAACTTCTGTAATGAGGAATACTATCACTATATTAAAGTAATTATATTCTAGATGGATAACTTGGTAGTAATTATCTTACTATGGTTACTATTGCTCTCAGAAATAGGTCTTATAATAATTCCTATGAGAACGTAGTTTTTCTAATTAGAACTTAGGACACAATATATTCTCTTAAACTGTTCTCTCCAAATTGTTCTACAGTACTATATTTTGTGCTAGGAATTTATTCTGCTTGTAAAGCTATGAAACAGTTAGTTAAAGTGAGGTTAATTGTATAATATGAGAAATAAATGAAATTAATAGAGTATTAGAT